CCAGCTGTTTCCTCCAGAGACTTGGACTTGCCGGCTTCTATACATTTGTGAGCCATTTTTCTAAGATAAATCTCTCTCTCTCTTTCTCTCTCTCTATAAATATATATATATACACTTTGCTGGTTTTTGTGTTTCTCTAGAGAACCCAATCTAACACACTGTTGATCTGGAGGAGGATTTCAACATACAGCCTCAATTGAATTCATAGGCTTTTGGCAGAGTTTTCAGCTAACTAGAGTGAATTTGCTAGAATGTAGCTCTTTTTACTAAAACGCGTGGAAGCTCCTACCTTTATTGCCTTATGAGAATTTTATCTACAGCCCTAACGATGTAAGAACACTCTTTCCTCATTACAGAAATTTTTGTGTCAAGGACCAAAATAATTTAATTTCATTTATTCAGGTTTATCTCCTCCTTGACTTTTTATTTGTTATGAATTTTAAAAAATGAGTTTTCACTTTTGACTAAGATGAAATAAAGCTCAACAGGGAGGGCATGTCTGATTTGAAAGAAGGCAGGAGCAGAATTTTTCTTAGAACTGCAGAAAGACACCAGACTTAAGGGTCAGTCATTTTCCATCAGACACATTCATGGACAGCCAATAGATGTTACCTAGTGCAGCTCAGCCCAGCACTGAAAGTCATAGAGTATTGGAGACCCAAGGCAAAAAGCTATAGTGATTTCTATGCATCCCTGAAGCTGGCCTGCCAACTCAGAAAAAGGCATTTTCTCAGCCACTCCATAGAGATTAGTTTATCAAGTCTCTTAGGATAAAGTCAGAAATCATTAAAAGTGGAGAAAAAAAGCCTTATTTTTTGTGCATTTCTGGAGACAGCTTTCAGAACCCTTCTCAGACCAAAGGGGAGGACTAAATGATCTGTGCATTAGAAACTCTTACGATGGAAACAGTCTTTGGGAAAAGCAGAAATACAGACTTAAAGAAAAAGCTAAATTATATTATTTGTATTGATTACATTTTGCAGAGGCAAATATATTTTAGTTATAAACCAAGCTTACATAAACGAGCTCTGGTGGTGTAGTGCCTAAGGCATTTGACTGCTAACCAGAAGGCTGGTGGTTCAAACCCATCAGCCACTCCTCGGAAGGAAGGTTGGGCAAT